ACTTTTAAGGGACTGTGTGATATGATTTATTTATCATTCTCACTGTTCAATGAACGCAAACCATCCTGGATTAATAAAGACGCAAACCTCTCACTGCACGAAAGCGCCGCACCTTTAGCAAACCTCCTAATACCTGCAGCACGAGGGCTTTATGATTGTTTATAAGCGTCAAAAGTGGCTGATCTGTTCAGCGGAATATTTGACTGCCTGTAACTGCATATCAAATGACTTAAACGACAATATACAGTAACTGAAGCAATCTCCACGCTTCTGAGCAAACTGCGCTTCGGAAAAGCGCATCATCGATGATGTTAGCGTGCACAGGCCCGAATGTATTGTGAGTGCGGGCCGTCGGGGGAGACAGGAGGGGGGCAAGCGTGCTTTGGCCCAGTTCAAGGCAACTGTACATATTGAGAGTACCCTCTAAGGGCCTGTGCACACCGGGACGCTCTTGTTTAACGCCTGATGTTTAACTAAATAAAGGGCACCAATATGATCGTGCACACCAATGTGCAAAACGGCAGGCGTAAAAAACATAATATTTAAAGAAACGCCACATGCTCGCTTTTTTTGTTTTTGACGCGCCACATTAAAAATTTCAGATCAGATTGCCACTTTTGTTTACGTGCACGGAGCAGCTGAAGTTACAGTAAACAGCACTTGGAGGCTCTTTAGCGCATTACTGTCAATGCGAGCGCACGCTGAAGAAGATGCCCAGAGGCAATATGAACATGGAGCTGCTTATTGCACTGTTGATCATTAATAATTTCTTCATCACTAGAGCTGGAGCTGCTACTTGAACCATCCATAACAACAAACGTATTATCTTTCTATCTTCTTCTTCTGTGTAGCGCCATCTAATGTCAAAATTTTGCATACTCTTCTGCTTGATGCCAGAGAAAATCGATTGGGTTTGAATGCAGAAAAATAGAAAATGCAAAAACGCAAACAAAAGCATTCCGGTGTGTACAAGCCTTAACACTAGCAATTTTATGCCAATATCAATATGGCTGCCAATATATTATGCATCCAAACTATGTGATTTTGGATTTGAAAAGGATTTGAAACACTAAAAATAGCATTTATAAAGTTATTGTTGTCAGACCAACAATGATAACACTAAAAATAGCATTTATTTGCAGATATCAATATGGCTGCCGATATGTCATGCATCCAAAGTATGTGATTTTGATTTAACACTAAAAACTGCTTTTATTATTGTTGTCAGACCGATAATAATAACACTAAAAATAGCATTTATATGTTAAAAGTTAATATGGCCTCGGATATTTCATGCATTCAAAGTATGTGATTTCAGATTTAAAGACAGTTTGAAACACTAAATATGACAATTATAGTGTTTTTCTTATCAAACCGATAATGATAACACTAAATGTTATTTTTTTGTTTTATCATTATCACTCTGATAATGATATAACTATAAATATTATTTTGGTGTTATCATTATAACACTAAAAAATAGCAATTAAATGCTGATATCAATGTGATAACAATATATTTATTGTGCATCGACAGTATGTGATTATGAATGCAGCTTATATGCCATGTGTATCTATTAACAAATTTAAGATTTTGAATTTTGAAATAATATAAACAGAATATGTGTTGCCACACTTGTCACATCCATAAATACATAAATATGAATAGCCCTCAATAGAACTGCAGACGAGCTGTCAGATCCGCCCAGTCCACCTCTTTTAATTGAAGGGCACTGAACACATTCGAGGGTTTGATATCTCTGTTCAGCAGCTCTGACACTCAGCAGGAAGGGCAGAAACCAGCACTGGCAGTCCAGATCTGCCCAAATCCACAGCTGCACCCGGCCTGACCTGAGAAGCCATGGAGGACCCTGTGTGTTTTCGTTAATGGGAGGCTTTCCTGCTTTCCTGTCTCGGTCTGGAGGGCGACAGACCAGTCACTGGATGTATTAAAAACCTTGGCACCAAATGTGTTAAGTCTAGCCATTTGAAAGGAACACAATGAAGGCTTAAAAAACAATGATGCATGCATTGCACTTTAGATGCATTAGGTGAGGCACACAACCAATCTATTCAAGATCAAGAGTCAATAGTTTGAGATGAACTGCAGTCTCGGAAAGCTTAAGTTTAATGTATTGCTTGTTGTCACTATACATTATTTGTATATTTCCATTTGTATTATGAATGTATGAATGAATGTATGAAAAAATAAGTAAATAAATAAATAAATAAATACTAACTTTAACTCAAAACATGTAAAATGTGAATTGTGGAAATTGTACAAAAAATAGTTTTGGCCTTATTTTTCATGTCTAGTGTACAAAAAAGGCAAAAAAAACATATAACATTGTATAATATTTTAAATGACAAAAAAAATTATATGATATATTTATATCAAATATAATCATATAAATATTATATAATAACTTTATTTGGCTGATAGCTAGTATAAACAACTAAACAACTAAAATAGCTAGTATAAACAAATAAATAAGTAAACTGGTTAATTCAAGTAAATAAATAAGCAAACAAACAAGCTAAACAAGCTTGCAAGCAAAAAACAAATAAATAAATGAATGAATGCATAAATAAATAAATAAATATATTTATTTTTTTAATGTATATAAATATATGTGTAGGATATAGAAAATATTTTAGAATTTTATCTCATAATAATACTAATAATAATAATAATTATTATTATTATTATTATTATTATTATCATCTGAAAATATTTATTGAAAGTAACAAGCGTGCAAATAAAGTAATAAAACTAAATAAAACTAAATTAATTCTAATGGATATTTTAAAAATAAAAATATTAACTGCTAATTAAATGTTTAAAATAAAAAGAACCAAATTACACTGAAGTCATAAATTTCCAATAGGATATCAAAGGAACAGTCATCAAGCCGTTTAATTGTGGTTTCATTTGTAATCTTACTACAGCTACATTACATGTGACACATCCTGACCCAGTCTATCTTAACAAAAATACAAAAGTCTTTGAGCTCACTGTCATTATCTCACTCAGCATTCTCAGATCCAACCAAACACTCCTACAATTTAAAGGTAAAGTTCATGTAAAATTTACATTTACTATTTACTTACCCCTAAGTACTTCCAAATCCCCCCTCACTCTTTTTGTGCTTTGCAATCAGTTAAGCATTTAAAAAATGCTTTGTTTTGCACTTTTATACATTTTTATTACCAAAGATTTGCTTTTATGGGTAATATTTTTATTAAATAAAGAAGTAAAAATATATTAAATTCACTAACGCACTCTTTGTTGAACACAGAAGATATGTTGAAGAATGTTGGAAACAAGAAGCCATTGATAAACAGTATGGGACAAATAATAACAATGATAATCAATGGCGGCAGGTTTCCAATATCATTTTTAGTGTTCAACAGAAGAAAGAAACTCAAACAGGTTTGGAACCACTTAAGGGTGAGAAAATGATGAGTACATTTTCCTTTTTGCATGAACTATCCCTTCCAACCTTCAGCAAGGTGACTGTTGTGTTTTAACCTGAGCTGCTCTGCTTCAGAATGCATTATTCAAGGCGTGTTTTTTTGGGAATCGGCCAGAGCCAGGAATGTTTGTCTGCTTTCACTCTGAATTTACAACAAACCAGAGCGGGTTGTTACAGCTGTACCTCCACACATCACAGTATGAAACAACTCTCCTTTTGTTAAGTGCGTTATCATCTCTGTGTGAGTGTTTAGTCTGTGTCGACAACTGGGGGAGGAATTAGTGGAAATTGGGGCAAACGCTGAAGTTTGACACCTTTTGGGAACGGAAAAGATGTGTGTTCAAGGGCACTTTTGAATAAGAAAGAAAGCTTTTAGCGTACTGAATCATGTCCACAAAGTATATTTATCTCTTAAATTAATGATAGGATCACTTAAAAAATTAAAGTATAATTGTCTTGAAGAGTTGAGATGCAAATAAATCAGAAGATTTCTTCTAAATAAGTATTATTAATAAATAAAATGATTATTTTTTATCATGCTACTGTTTGGTAATTACAATTTTAGCAAAGAACAGGTTATCTGAATCACATTTAAAGTGTAATGACCGAACATAAACTTAAAAGGTTAAAAAAAAAAAAAATCCTCATTTTGAAAGAAAATATGGTACATTATTAACCTGGACCTGATGATGATTTCAAATCGGCTTAAAATTTATATCTGTGTTTTACTACTATTTTAAAAAGTTAAGAGTGTATATGAGTTAAAATTTAAGGAAGGGGGTAGGTAGGGCCAAGCTTGTGACGTAAATCTCATTTAATTTTGTCTATTTGTTTGTTTGGTTAACATAATCATATTTAAAACATAGATAAACAAATGAAAAATGTGGAATGTTGAAATTATATAAAATGAGTAGGTATGGTCATACTTGTGACCTCAATAAATACATGTTTATCTAAAAATAAAACAAAGTCTACTTTATGTGCAAAAATAATATTTGCATAATAAACCATATATTTGATGTTCAGTGCTTTACACTTAGGCACTTGCAGTATATCCTACTTCTACGAGTATAGCCTACTAAAAGTTTGGTTACCTGTACTGCAGTTGTACTAGCTACTATGTTGTCAAAATTCACTGTACTTTAGGATAAAATGGATCCGTTTAGTTTTGAACAGTTTATTCTATGACATGTAGTATGCTTAAAATATACTTGATTTTAGAAGTATACTTAACATGAATTTGAAGTATAGCCTATTTTTCCAAGGATGGCACCTAGATTATAGATAGACTCCCTGGATGGAATCACCGACGCAGTCTGATTTATATCGTGTAATTTATGTATCACTGAAAGAGACGTCATTAATTAGAGGCTAAAATAAATCATGATCTTTTTCGGCTTCTCAGCCTCCTCTGTCGCTCACTGCCACGCGTTACTGCCTCACACATCAGACTTCCCTAACAAACAAGTAACAAGAAAAACAAAACTCATATTGAAAATGTAAGTATTAAACATCAGAAACTTACTTGCAGTAGTGACAGTGAAATCCAACAAAAAGTTTATCCAAAAATTGATTAGTAACTCCTCAGAGAAAGCGCTGAAAGGTCCAGAAATCACTCGCAGGTCTTATGAGAGATATCTCGATTGTTGCTCGGCTCTGTTTACTCCACGGCTGTTTTGAATATTCATTTTATTCCCTCGCAGCTGCGCGCGTATTCGGTATGTAAGCAGGGATAAGTCACCTTCTATCCCGGCCGTTACTTCAACAACTGCAGCTCTGAGAGTTCGGAGAAAGCAAGTAAACTCTCACAAGACACAGGAGGAGAGAGAGAGAGAGAGATGTGTGAGTGACGTCATCAATGCAAACACTCGCTCACTGTAGGCGCGCTGGTGTGGAGTGTATAATTGAAAACACACTGACTGCTCACTTAGTGAATTTTATGAGCTGTGAGTGAACTTCCTTTCTAACCGTGTGTCTATATAACGTGTGTCTTTCTATTTATCTATCTATCTATCTATCTATCTATCTATCTATCTATCTATCTATCTATCTATCTATCTATCTATCTATCTATCTATCTATCTATCTTAAATTCAGTTATTGTGATGTATATCAACCTTACAACTTTATCTGCATTTATTTATTTAACATATAAAAGCACTTCAAATCATCAGATAGTTGCAGAATAAAGGTGCTCTGTCAAGTTTTATTTTATTTTATTTTTAATAATTAATTAAATGTATTTTCCAAATGTATTTATGTACTTTTTGTTGTCCAAGCATATGAAGAGGCGAGAGTGTCTCAAAGCATATTTACACAGCAAAGATGGCACATAAACCAAACCTTAAGTGTCATAAATTTTCAACAATGTGTATTTACATAAACTGTTTAATGAGGCATATCACCTTTACACTGTATTATGGGCAGACACAGATCTTCTTTAGGGCCACCTTAAATCGGCTGTGTAAAAATGTAACAATAGTGTCTGGCTGCAGACCTGCTCATGTACTCTCAGACATCGGGCTCTATTTTGACGATGTAGGCACAAGCTCCAAAGCGGAGCGCAAAAGCATCAAGGCCATGTCAGAATCCAGTTTTGCTATTTTAACTACAATCAGCTTTGCGCCACATGGTCCAACAGGGTCGAGCTTATTATTTTAATGAGTTATAGGTGTGTTTTGAGAAGAAACCAATCAGAGTTTTATCTCCCATTCCCTTTAAGAGTCAGTTGTGTTGCGCCATAGTGCATTTGCTATTTACATGGCGGACTTTGTAAGTAAAAAAACTGAGTGCTTCACTAGCGAGAAAACAGTTAAACAGACCATCTGCAGCGAGAGAATGAGCCTCCTCATTCTTTATTTTCACTTTTATTTTTTTCATGGATAAGGAAACGTGTAGTACGCACAGACATTCATTATCTTACATAATAAATATCGTTTGTTAAGTACAAAGCTTTGTTTTAAAACTGTTTCTAACTTTAGTTCTTATTTCCAGCAAACAAATAAATGAACAATATTAACGAAGTGTGGTCAAAAAATTATATCCAAATACACATGCTATGCTCCATATGGTCCAAAACCGGACAGGTGAGACATTTTAAGCTTGTTTTTAATAAAACAAGTATAAATATGCATATAATAAATATTACTACTAATAATAATAACATTATACAAAATAAAATTTTCATGAATAAACTGAAAAATCCCCCTAAGATCAAGAAGGCATGAAAGCAATGGCTTTTATATTTATGTAAAAAAAAAAAAAAAATTATAATATGAGTGCAAATGCATTTGCTATTTAAACAGCGTGGTAAAAAAAAAAAACATCAAAACGACACTTGCGTCGAGCTGAAACTAGCAAACAACAATTGCGTCACGCCTTGCGCCGCATTATGCTGGGTGTATGATAGGGCCCATGCACTCTCAGGCACATAAGCAAGTGATGTAATTTTGAGGGGTATGGGTGTGATCAGGTGTAGATGTTTAAATAGCCCCTATTATACATTACAAGGGGTTATATTTGGGTTTTAAGGGTCTCCATCAAAAGGCTGCATTGCATGCAAGGTCAAAAAATGCTTTCATTCTCTTATAAAATGTGTTTATTTTTACCCAATTATGCCAGTAACACCCGCTGAAACGTTCAGCGATTTATTTGTTCCCCAACCCCTTCTTAGCATGAAGCTATTCACAGTACCCTGTTCACAACAATGTTATTCAGACACCTCACCCCCGAACTTAACCATGACACACATTCATTATTAATCAACAAAGCGGCAAAAGCTGAACCATTCTGAACATTGACAGCTGCATGTGTGTAAGAACAGCTGACGGTGGCCATAGCAACAACAAACGGCGGTAGATCATGAGCTCACCAACACATTTAAATTCATAAACAAAGCAGCAAGCGTCGCATTTTCGCAAGTGGCTTTAGACGCGATATGAAAAAATAAAGAGTTAACCAGATACAGTACACACGGTTGCAAGTTACAAATCACAATAAAATACATAATTTGCAAGCTACAGGAAACAAGGAGGCAGCCATTTACATACACTTGTGCAAAGGTGGAAAAAACAGATTCACGATCCAATGATCCATGTACTGATAAAGTTCCTGTCGAGCTCTGTCAAAGTCTCATACATCAGTAGTCTCTTCTGATCCTTCCTTCAACAAACATCCGACGAATCGCCCGTTGTAAGCGTGTAGATTGCTGTAGCACTCGTCAGAAAAAAATGATGGTAACAGCAGAGGCCGGGATAATGCTGAGGTATTTTTGCAAAAATAAACCTCAACCACTGATTCTTCACAGCCTCATCTTCGGGAAGAGAAAATAACACTAACTTTCATTAAACACTTTCAATAATATCCAGTTAAGCACAGCGTCTTTATAACTCATGACTTCAAGATCTGTTTGTCTTCCTTTTTTACTTTGCTACTTCCTTAGTGGGCAAGACTGCAGGTTTTAAATTTTCCAGGGTTTGTGCGCACAACAATTCGGCAGGTCTTATGTATTGTATCCACGTCACACAGAAAAGGCCAAAGACTCATTATCAAGACTATTCATTCGAACCACTATGATTCATTCGAACTACTATCGAACTACTAGATGAATGTAGATGAATCAATAGTTTTAAACACTTTCCATTTTCAGATTAAAGCCTTAGCTGTATATTTCACTTCACTTGGAGTTGTGTTACACACTACATGGAAGGTCATATTAAAAAAAAAACATAATAGGGGCTCTTTAAAGTCAACAGTATCTGAGAGTGCACATGCAGTCGGTCTACATTCTGACCCTTCAGTGTGTCCAACTGGTGGTTTGTCAAGCCCACTCACTATGTGAAGCAAACTTTGAATTGCATCCTCAAGCAAGAGTGGTTTGCATATTAAGGCAATGCAAAGACACAGACATCCTGTGGGATGATACGCTGGTATCAGGCGGCGCAACTTGAGCATTTTGTGGGGTGGGATTATGATGTAGCACGTGTTGCTTGTGTCTTGGGGAAAAAATTATTTTGTTGACACCGGACAACAGTTCATCAAACTGGGCTGAGCTCAGTCAGAAGCAGCACTGAAAGCCTCTATCATCCAGGTACAGTTTCTGGAGGAGTTGATGAACTCAAGAGCTGGGTGCACTTCTGAAAGCATCTAGGGGACTTGGAAATGCCACCAAACGATTCGACTCTGTTTATCAGCCTTCCTAAAGCACATAAACACAGTCATTCTCTCCATAAAATCCATGATAGCCATTTAGCAATGAATAGAGTCACCGGGAAGACAGAAGCCCTGGCCATGATGTGAATTCGCATCTGTTGTAAAGTAAAATATATGCTGGATGAATAAAGGGAATAAGCTAAAGGAAAAATAATGGTGATGATGATGAGTAGCAAGTAACAGATGTCCAGAAATCAAATCACTGATTCAAATGATCTGGTGAGAGCAAGTCAATGAGTCACTGATTCAGATAGTCCAGTTATAACAAGTCTCCATTTAATGAATGACCTGGTCAAGCATAGTCTGTGCGGTGACATCTGTTCTGATGTTGCTGTATAATCTATTTTCATGTTTTTAGTTATTTGAATACTTGATGCAAATTATTATGATTATTACCAGTCATGTTTATCAGTGTAAAGCAAGCTTTTATACAGGCTTTTCTTTTCTAACTTGCGATATGAATAAAGCCCTGCTTCCATTTCATGTGCATATGAAAACATAATAGTCAAAAACGAATAAGCAAAATAATAATAAAATAAGTTGCTTCAACCAGGAAAGCCACTGCAGCTATTTTTAATCTAAATAATAAATGACTTTCTCCCATTAGTGGCAGAAAGCACATACAATAACAAACACTCTCATGTTGTCTTACATTTAGTTGCCTGTAATAATACATGACCAACAAAAATGATGCTTACTTATTTGCTATTATCTAAATGGTTAATTTTGGTCATCAAAAACCAACAGCAAAAACACTGAAATTATGTGAGATTTCTTTTCATGCATAAATACTATTTTAATTATGTTGTTTGACACAATGTTTAAGTAACATTTTATGTAAACTCAAGGATAGTGCTCACATGCAAAGGTATTGAAACATACACATTTCAATGCAACACTAAATTGACCAGCAGCATTGGTACTTTAATGTGTGTTACATAATGTATTGATACACATTAATGTCAATTAATGTGTGATTATGAATGAGAGAAAAACACTATAAAAATAATAATATTAATAATGTTATTATTAGGGCAGAATGGTGACTTAGTGGGTAGCACAATTGCTTTACAGCAAGAAGGTCGCTGGTGCAAGCCCCAATTGGCATTTCTGTGTGGAGTCTCTCTGTGTTCGCATGAGTTTCCTCAGTGTGCTCCGATTTCCCCGACAGTCCAAAGACACGCTCTATAGGATAATTGGGTAAGCTAAATTGGCCAAAGTGTATGTGTAAGTGTATGAGTGTGTATGGATGTTTCCCAGTGATGGGTTGTGGCTGGATAAGCTGGCGGTTCATTCCGCTGTGAGGACCCCAGGTTGATGGATGGAATAAGCCGAAAAGAAAATGAATGAATGAATGTTACTATTAATAATACACTCAGATAAGTAAAATTAAGAAAAATTTAAGTGAAATTAAATAAATAAATAAATAGACAGAAAAAAAACACTAACTAACCAACCAGCCAACTAAAGAACTAACTAATCTAATTAATAATAAATGGATTACGTTTGAGCTGGTTTGTTGTTGTTGTTGTTGTTATTTTGGTTTGTT